TTCGTGCGCGTGCGCGCACGCACTACTTAGAATTGGGAAAGTCTCGTTCTTGCAGGTCATCTTCGTCTGAGAATCGAAAGCTCTCTAAGCTCGTTACCAGTCGTCCTCGGCGATTTCGAGATGTGCGTGACGTCTCTTGTCAAGCTGTCGGGGAAATTTCGCGCTCGGTTTCAAGCCGACTCTGGTCACTTGGATAGCGGAAACTGGCTTGGGTACGAGACTGAAAGCTCTCTATTGACACAGGGTCCAGAGGAGATGTGTTTGTCGTTAGAACATCAAAACCCGTCGAAAACCTCTGAAAAAATGGGTTATTGTAATCGCGTTACAGTTTCGTTACACATTCTATATACTGCAAACCAAGAGACTGAGAAGCGAAGAAATCGTTTACAGTAGATTCATAAAGATCTCATTGGGTTAATTAATCGTTCTAAGCGACAAGTATAGACATTTTTCAGGGCGAAACTTTAAATAAGTAATTCATTTATTTACACGAAACTCCTCTGGACCCTGTGCTATTGCTCAATCTATTGATCAAGCCATAACGGCGGCGGCTGGGTGCTTGTGTCATGGCCAAATGACTGTTACTTCAAGTAGCTTCTGGCTATTTGCAACGGCTGCTTGTAAAATTGACTGCCGGCTCAACAATATATACCCGGAAGCGATTGTTACCTTACGTTTGTACGTGACTCAAAATGAAGCGCAGCTTCGGGGACGATGAATTACAACGCCTTTACGAAAAAGCGGAGTTTGATAGAGAGCACAAGGAGGTAAAGAAAATCGAGAAAAGAATTAGAAGTTTAGTTGACGAAATCTCTGTCTATATAGGCCGCAAGGATCCACTTTTTAAAAACTTTGTAATCCCCAGCGGAAGTTTTTATGAAGATCTTAAAGTCGAAGGACCCGATGAATTCGATTTTATGATTTGTTTAGAGCAGCTTTCCTCTCCTGGTGTTTGTGTTACGAAGGATATTCCCATGAGACCGGTTCCCGATCCCGGCTACGTGGATGTTCAACTGTCCAACGAAGATTATCGTAATCGGTGGCAAAGGTACATTTCCAGGCGAGGAAATCTCAAACCTGATGTTCTCTTGAGAAGATTTAAACAACTAGTCGAGAAAGCCATAGCTAAGCAAGAGCGGTCTTCCAGGGATGAGTTAGATGAATATGTCAATATTCAGTTCAGAAAAATCCCGATAACGATCAAGGTTAGATGGCATGGCAAGAAGTACTCGAACTATGAAGTAGCTGTAGATTTAACTCTGTGTATCAAAATGTCAGGATGGCCGGACGCTTCAGATATAAAGGAACGAGTCAGCAGGGGTCACCCTGGATATGAAGCGTTCAGAGAGGCTGTAGCAGAGGGCTACCATCTCGTGGCGTCAACTATTGGAGAATCCGGCAAGCCTCGGCCATGTTGGCGTTTATCATTTTCAATTCCCGAAAGAGTTATACTCAAGCACATCTGCAAGAATCCGAAACTCATTCATAAGGTGACGCTTAAGGTTCTCAAGGTGTTGCGGAAGGAAAATGAGGATTTTTTATGTCTTTTTGAAAGCCCTGGTGAAGAGTTGGCGTCTTTCCACATAACATGGGTGTTCCATTCGTACGTGTTAAAGACAATGTTGTTAAGGGAATGGACTGATTTCCCGGAAGATTCATATTGGACCAAAAATCAACTAGGAAAACGAGTCAAGAGCATTTTGGAAAGGATTCGAAGTAGCGTGGTTCGCAAAGATATTCAAAGTTTCTGGGTTCCAGGTTATAAACTTTTTAATTTCCGAGCAAGAAAGCCAACCAACACGAAACATTGCGTGGACAACCTTGGCATTCTCTTAGATAAACTAGATCTTTCTAAGTGTAAGCATGTCGCGGAATTCAGTGTCGCTAAATATACCCCTAGGTCACAAATAGATATAGTAACAGTAGATCCTGTAGATTTTGTAGATCCTACAGAGTTTGTAGATCCTGTAGATTTTATGGATCCTATAGATCGTGTAGATGCTACAGATTTTGTAGATTCTATGGATCCTGTAGATCCTGTAGATTTTGTAGATCCCACAGAGTTTGTTGATCCTGTAGATTTTATAGATACTACAGATCTTGTAGATTTTGCAGACCCCATAGATTTTTTAGATCCTGTAGATTTTATGGATCCTATAGATCCTGTAGATACTATAGGTTTTGAAGATTTTATAGATCCTGTAGATGCTATAGATCTTGTAGATCCTACAGATTTTGTAGATCCTGTAGATTTTTTAGATCTATAGATCCTGTAGATGCTATAGATCTTGTGGATTTTATGGATCCTGTAGATATTGTAGATTTCAAACCCTATAGCTCAGGCTTAAAGTGACCCCTAAAGGAGATCATACTACATCAGACATCTATAGGAGCAACGGTGGCACAGTTGGTTAGTGCGCGGCCTTCGGTGCGCAAGGTCCCGAGTTCGATCCCGTCGACACCACATCCTTGTTTCAACTTCTCTCCTTTTAGTATAGCTTTGATTAGCTTTAAATACTCTTAAAACGGAGCATTGATGGAGAGAGGGGGTAAAATGAGCGCACCGTCGACCTCAAGTTTATCAGTTATTACTGTCACGAGTTATCGACGTAAAATATGGTTGCTTTACCTTTTACTTTTTCTTAAGAGCTAGGTATAGGGATCTCGTGTTCTTTTTTTGTTTCTGTGTGGTCAGTGTTGTGGCATTTTTTTGTAAATTCCTATGCACCTATCAATATAAAGCCGGCGCAAGGAGAGGGGGCGGGGAGGCAGGGCATGGGGTGGGGATTTGACATCAAAAATTTGCAGTCAAATTCCCTGCCCACTGGCAAATCATTCCAGTCAGATGCAACCAAATTTCCCCACCCAGGGCTGCACATTTCACTGTCAAATATCCCAAGGCTGGACCCAAGAAAGGCACAATAAAAATATCTCCAAATAAAACTCTGAAATCTTTATTTATATTACGTTGCTGCATCACCAAAGATACATGTTCCTGTTACAGCTGCAATCATACGTTTTAACCATAATCCGTGTTACACTGCGTAGAATACAGAAACCTTTAGGAGAAAGTCCATATTTTGTAAGTTTAGATATACCGTACTTAGTAAAGGGTACAAAGAAAGTCATTGTTATAAGCTTACAGTGACTGTAGCAAATGAGCCATACACTGATCAATTGTACTTGCAAAAATCGACTTGGTTGCTCTTTACTTCCGTTTACTTTGAGACCACAGTATCTTAAGAGGTTCAATTGATCAAAAACACGCTAAAACAAAAGAAAATTTGAAGACGAAACAGTGAAATCCACCCAGCTTTCGCTTGCTCTTGTTGGTCTCCATGATTTCCAGATCTTTCCAGACTGTACGGCGCATGCGTGAAGTTTAAGAGTGGGAAACATATGTTCGGTCTCAGCCTTTTTCGTCCGAGCCGGCAGTCAAATATCTCCACGTCGGGCGAAGAAAGATTCAAATATCCCCTCCTCTGGGAGAACAAGATCATTCAAATGCCCTACCCAAGGGCCAACAAAGACAATCAAATCCCCACCCCTTGCCCTGCCTCCTCCCCCCCCCCCGCCGGCATAACATTGATAGGTGCACTATGCACAGCCCTAAGCCATACCTAAATGGGCAAATATTGTAACTTTCCATCCCAAACATCCTCATTGAGACCAAAATCTGCCATTTACAGTCCTAAGCGAGACGGCAAGCATGGCGGTCACTTTTGTTAGGGTATTATGAAGACGCTCTTCCAAAAATACAAGCTTGAGCTTTCAAACGTATTCAAGCTTTCATCGGTCACTCCTTTGTAAATATTATTTACGATACCTTGAGATTTGTCAGAAACAGAATTGTCTCGCTGTAAATTGTAATGGTCCTGCTAATAGCGTCCGAAACGTTTTCGCGAGTCATCGGTAGCTCCTTCGTATTTAGCTAGGAAAGCAGAAAATATGATTTTTCCCGCTTGCATGTTCAACTTTGGAAAATGAAAGGGACAAGTATGGTTAGACAATAGCCCTGGTGTACAAATAGACGAAAGGAACTCAGAAGATGCTGTCTGCCGATTGGGCACAATAATGCAAAGGATATTTTGTGCCCAATCAGGAGTCAGCATTCGCATGACCTTCTGGAAATGGGTAAGAGTCAGTACCCAGGGGCTCACCTTCTGTCCGTACTTAAAAACTTTCGTTGCGCATTTTCGCTCAAACCAGGAGACTGCTCTTAGGTCTCTGAGGATGTCCCATGAACAATTCATTGGTAACAAAGATTACAAGCAATGAACTTAGCACCAGTAGTTAGAAAAAAAAAAACAAAACTGAAAACCAGTTATAAACCACACAGCGTCACTTGACTCTGCCTTAGCATGCATGATGTTGTTTCTTAATATTGTTACAGTTAACGTTAGTTCTAAGTTTCACTTCATAGGTTAGTTAATAGGTTTAATGAAGTTAGATTTACTCGCTATAAAAGTGCAGTAGCGTTTTAAGGCCAATAAAAACACTTGTTGAAATATCAATACTTTTATTTTGCCTGAAAACAAAAAGTTTAAAATACATTGCATATATACATATATATAAAAAGCTTAAGCTTTAGAAAAACAAATTTTACGAAAAAATTTTAGTTGGAAAACAGTAGAAGTTCTTATTGTTGACTAGTTCTTGTAAGCTTTCGTCACCTTTGTAATAATAAGAGGCTCTCACTTCTTACTGTCAAACTCAGAAACCGCGAACACCTGAAAAATTTCAGGAATGTTGATTGTGTACTGGCCAATCACAATAAAGTTCAGGATACGCTAGCAAACCTCAAAACCAGAAACTAACTACCGTTGCTATGATTTTCTCGTTGCCGTCGCTGTTCTGGCCTGCTAATTGTTAGCTCCAAACCTTTCTCCTCTCTTTAATTTTCATATATTCCAAGAAAGTGATTCTACTAATAGGTTCAATTGTAAATCATACTTAGTAACCACTTCAAGTTCAAAAGCAACTGACTCATGTTCTCATTAATGAAGCACCTAGTATCAGAAATATCCGCCCGAGGTGCTGTTTCAGTTCGTATCTGGCAGTTGGCAGACACGATCAATGTATTCGAGAAAAAATTAAAGTACGAGATATTATGGAAACGATAAGCAAACTCAAATTGAAATGAGCTGGTCATGTGGCGAGAAGAACAGAAAACTGTTGGACAACCCCTCATTACGTTCTGGACGCCCCAGGGACACACAGGGAACCAAGGAAGACCGAGGACGAGATGGAGGGACGATTTAGAGAGTTTGGTAAAACACTGGCATCGTATTGCGCAAAACGTGGTCCAGTGGAGGTCAATAGGAAAGGCCTACGTCTAACGACGGACATTCAAAGGCTGAAACTGAACTGAAACTGAAGGTCCCTGCTTATTTGAATATGTACATACATGTAAATATAGTTTACTAAGGGTGCTTTGGCCTGGCGAACTAATGGTACAAAAATATCAATTTCAATAAAGGAAATACTGCATGGCATCGAGTTGTTCGTCTCCTCCTGACGAACCAAAAAGACCACACCCTACAAGCAGAGCCTGGCTTTGTCTTTTTCTTGATCCGAGGACAGGGGTGGATCTAGGGGTGCTGAGGCTGGGCACCCTCCCCCCCCGTCGAGATGACCTGCGGCTTTCGTTCTGCAAAGTAAGCAGATATGTATGATATGTACTCTCAGCAGTTCAATTTATGTTATTGACTAGTCAAAAGCCTTCTTCGTATTCGCTTTTATGATTTGTTTTCGTCACTAGTCAGTTAAGCCATTCCTTAGTGGTGCACCCCGTCCTAAGAAAAATCCTGGACACGCCCCTGGATGAGGTGGAAAGAAGGTAAAAGCAAACTAAAATATTTAGTTAAGAGCAGCTTTTTAGTGTAAATTTGGATATATGATGTAGTAACAAATAAAGTTAAACAATGGAGGAAAATTATTCGGCCTCGTTCGCCCTAAAAAAATGGCTCGTGCAAAAGTTGCTGAATGAGAACACAGGCTGTACTTAAAGGAGCTGTGTCACGACATTTATATCAAAATTCAGACATTAGGAAAGAAAATTCGCCCCATGTAAGGGAATCCATGGCCGTCTTGGATTCTGGATTCCACGCACTGGATTTCGCCGGGATCTTTTGTCAGTGGAACTTGGATTCCGGATTGCAATCGTTTTTGGGATCCGGATTGCTTGGCCTGTATGCCGGATTCCAAAGCCCAAGTCTTCCCTTTGCACAAGAAAAATTACCCGGATTCCCTTACAATAAGCGAACCAAATGGCACTTAAAGTGTTAATAAAAGAAGGTTAATTAACAATTATTGGATGAGGCGGAGTATCATCTGAAGAATTATGGAGATTGAGACTTAAACGCCGCTGTAAGAGCGTTGTTGTTGTAAAAGCTTTGTTTATGTTTGAAGATAGTGTTTCTGGGATTTGTCGAGTGCTGTTCCACTACTGGTTGCAAGCTCATCCAGAAAAATATTTTCCCAGCCATTGTTAAATACGACAAGCCAAATTTCCCCGTTTTCTTGGCATTTAAATTCGCTGATACAGCCGTTTTATTTGTCGTTAAAATGTCGTCTTCCGAAACTGTCCCGAAACGAAAGCCATACATTTTAACTCCCTTCCCAAAACAGCGAATGGCTAAAGATAATCCGAGTTATATGCAGGGAGCCAATCAAAACGTCCGAAAATTATTATGCGCCGATTTGGTAAATACTAATGACTGCTATCGCTTTCGATTCTTTGCTTTGTGCCCTCCAGGCTCAAAATCTTGGAATTTATACAGGTATATAAATTCCTCGATGCACAAAAACGAAACTTGAAAGCATAATAATGTTATTTAAAACACCCAGGCCCCCGATGTTCAAACGTTGGATAGTGGTATCCACCGGATGAAAATCTATACTCTATCCCTTGGATAGCGCAATTGGTTTTCCTAATACTTATATCCACTGGATAGTGATTTATACGGTGGATAGCCCTATCCAACTTTTGAACAACGGGGGACTAGATGTCATACATCATTTGGCGAAATGTTCCTCCAATAACTAATTCAGATCTATGTTATTTATTTTATTTTATTAGCCACACAGTAATAGAAATTACAAATAATATATATATGGGAAAAGTAGAAAAAAGAAGTGGCGAGGAGACCTAACAGAAACTATAGGAGCTTATGAGAGGTTAAGTCATGTTAGGTCTCCTCGAACTGCGTGCTTAAGCCGTTTAAAGAGAAGACCGTTTCAGTTCTCTCTAACTCTAGGCAACGGAAAATAATTTTTAACATTACTCAATAGCAACTAATATTTTCAATATGCGGCTTGGGTTCAGGTTTATTTAAATAAATTATTTTATTTTTAGATTGTAGGTATACTTTAATATATGTTTTAGAGTTCGACTCTACCGCTTAAAACATTGCCACCTTTCTGACGATATGACCGTCTTCCATTCACTTCCGAACTCAAAGCAGATCATCTTCCGGCTACTACAGAATTAATTTACGGTTGATTTTAATATATTTATTCAACCATTTATTTTGTTTTCTTTGTTTAGAGTTTGTTCCCGAATTCACTTATTTCCACATGTCAAAACAAAAGGGGTGACGAATGGTCTTTGCGAGCACGAGCAGAGAGAAAAAATTTGCTTTGCGAGCATCGAACAGTTTAGAGAGTACAACTCGCGAGCAGCGACCACTTCTTATCTTTTCCGCTTGCAGCAATCCATATGGAAATCCTTTTCTTTAAAATAAAACAGAAAATATTTTAAAACGGGGTTTTAATTTAACCCCAAAAAGAATTTACAAAATTTCTAGCAATACTGACAAGAAGGCGAGCATGCGAACAACTGCAAAAATTTTGGGAGCACGAGCAAGCGATCACTCGTTTAAATTTTGCGAGCAGTTAAAATTCTAATTGACCATTTATTACCCCTAACAAACAAAATTCAAAACAAGCAATATATGGCTAGCGGTGTGAGATTTGACGCCAAAATTCAGGCACGCTTTATTTTCAGTGAATAGATCTAAGGGGTTCTTAACAGAGGTAAAATTCTTGCCCGTCCGGTTAGCAGAATCCTATGGAAACGTTTCAAATGTCAGTATCACCTCTGCTTAATTTGTCTAAACTTAATTTTCACTAAATTGTACCGCACGCCCGCCATGTTAAGTATGGAAAAACGTTTTCGCCACTTCTTAGCTTTTATATTCATAGTTGCGACATGTATTATTTCCTGCTTCATACTGAGAACTAATCTCTTCGATCTACAAACACGTCTGCTTCAGTATCGGACTTACACGAATTGGACGGAAAAAGAATTGTTTCTCGAACATTTGTTTTTCTTACGCAGACAGAACAGTGTCTCCCACCGGTGCTGCTTTATCATCTGAAGCTGTTCACTGATATGACATGTCGATGCGATGTGATAGTGTTGAGCTATAAGAGAAAATGTCAGAAGGAGAAACCGCCCCATGTAACGTATTTATTTGACAATACAACTACTTGGGGCTCGGGGCGAAATAAGCTGTTTTTTCTTGCAATGAACAGAAGGCCAGGCTATACATACTTCATATTCACTGACGACGATGTGTCTCTTAAGTTTAACAGTGCTGCTACCCCGGATATGAAACATTTTTCGCCAATTCGAATTTTCCAAGAATGGCTTTTGGATTATGAACCAGCAGTTGGCGTTCTTGACTATGAGCTGCGAAAAGAAGGACAGAACGTTCGAAACAAGATGAAAACCAACTGTGGAATTACCAACACCACCTCTCTCGCCAATCCAACGATCTTCTATGACCCTGTCTTTAACGCTTTTCACGCGCGCGCCGCTCGCCACATTTTCCCACTTGATACCACACACGAAAGAGTGACCTGGTGGCTTACCGACAAATATGTCTGCTCAGCAGTGGAGCTGAAATTTCGTGGACAAGCGCTCCTGTTTTTTCCAGTGACTATTGAGAACTCACTACATCGCAGTTATCCAAGATCGCTTAGAGGAACTAGAAAAGCCTGGCAAGAGTTTATTAAAATCATCCAACAGGAGGCACCTGCCAAATATGTGAACCAAAGTTTATTTGGCGAATTCAGAAAAGATCCATTTGGTTACGTAGAGACGTCCAAGACCTACTGCAGAAAGGTGACTCGTCATCAACGCATCGTTCCATTTGCGCATTTTGATGAAGAAAGTCAGGAAGAGGTGTCTCAGTCAAATTAATCAAACTAGACATAGACTAAATAGAGAAAGTTTACTTTAATGTGTTGCGTGCAAAGATTCTTAGCACATTGATTTTGTCTCTGATAGGCCTACTACTCAAAACTACTACTACTACTACTACCACCACCACCACCACCACCACTACTACTACCACTACTACTACCACTACTACTACTTGATTGCAAAACTGTTTAAACACGCTTCATTCTTATTGCGAAACATGGATGTTAAAAATTAATCCGAAGAAAACAAAAATAACAAGAATCGCCGAAAGGCGATTTTTAACTGGGCTGCCAACGGGCTATTTTTTCTGAGGGGAGGGGGCGGCTATACACACTCAGGCTACCATAAAACCTTGTCGGCAACCATTGCATGCGACAGAACCTCATGTGAAACTGAAACATAAACTCATTCAGAACATTGTACCCTTTTGAAAGACTTTCGTCGCCAAAAAAAAAGAGTACCATTTTTAAGTGGGGGCTGTATAATAACTTTTAAATTCCACCATTATGAATAAAAATAAACAAGTTAGCCATTAATTCTAAGCAGGAAACAATTTGCATTATTTCCACGTACACCTCCCCCAATCCCTCTGTGCCCCAAAATATAGCGTGACAGTATAACGTGACTAATTTGACGTAACTGGAAATTCCAAAAATTGTTGTCGTTCTACGAGCATAAAATGCGACAGAGCTGATTTACACTAGACAGAAATATTGTATTGTATGAAAACCAGAAGTATACTAAAACAGACAGTTAACTGCCCATTGATCCCACCTGATCCAGGGGCCTCACTGACTGCACGGAGACTTTACTGCGCTTTTCACAAACATGCGAACTCTAAAGTTCAAAAGCCACCTTTACAATTGTGTTTGTCGCTGCCGTCAATCATAATTACGATCACAAGCAACGAACCTTGAAACAGAGAAACACACAAAACGGATCAAAATCCACAAATCACAAACCATGACCTTTTGAACCCGTGAAGTAAAGTTTTGTTTCCTGAGAGGTCCGTTCAGATGATTGACAGTAGCGAAAAACGCAATCGTCGGTTGGGTTCTAAACTCCAGAATTTGCATGTTTGTGAAAAGTGCGATCTTAATTTGCGGTCCACAGTCTACAAGAAAACGCACTATTTTTCCACAAGATGAAAAATATTCAGCTTTAAGATTTTCCTCATGGTATTTTTCTCTAACTTAAAGGAATAAAATCCTTTGCATTTTGAGACCTAAAAAAGTTTAAAGATTTCTCGCTCGCATGTTGCGTTCACCAGCACGCACTTCAAAGAATGCAAATAGATGAAACGATCGATAACATATTTTTTACCTGATACCGATGCGAGTTAAAAATTCGCTCCAGTTCTGTTTGTCTCACCCAAGACGAACTTTTCTTCATGGAAGATAACTATGCCGCTTTATAACTCGTCCGAAGTTTTTGTGCCAGCTAAACAATATGGAAACACTATTCACAGTGACTCCTTGGATATTAAAAAAGACTGAACGTGACGCACTATTATGCCTTTGTTTACTTCTGATCACAACTTCAAGCTAAGTCTCTCTTTTCAAGCGATTCATCTCAATGCACAATAATTGACCCTTATATTAGTTAAAACCCTATGGTTCATTTATATTAATGCTGTTTTTGTCCCTCACATTGACTGTGTTCGTTCGTATTCAAAACACCTTTACGAAAATAAAGGTCGTATAAGTCTATACCTGCCAACTCTCACGCCTTAGGCGTGAGTCTCACGCCTGTGGGTTGAAAACTTCGATCTCACGCCGGCTCACGCCTGCGGGCCAATTTCTCACGCCTGATTGAAAAATGTAGTTGTTGCCGTCTTGCTTGACACAATTTCCAAAAATATGTTAACTCAGACCCATGTCAGGAACGAAAACCATGTGTAAATGAATAGATAACAATACCTTCCTCGCGATCTCTGATTTTGTGGATAAGCGTTTTCTCGATAACTTTGCCTTCGGCAGACTTCGGACGTCTTCGGACTTCTTCGGAAGACTTCGGACTTCTTCGGGAATCTTCGGAAATGATCGTGTCGTCTGCAAAAATCCCAGAACTCCCAGGATAAAAATCTCACGCTTATATCTCAGAAAAAGTTGGCAGGTATATAAGTCATGTGTGTGATGTTTCGAGATAAATGGATTATACGCTTTTTTAAGTTTCCATTTTGCGGTGACTTCAGTTTACGTCTCCATAAAATGGTAAAAGAAATATCAAGAAACATCACGAGAACTGAAAACTTTCAAAGGCATGTTTCTGAAACTCCCTAATCAGTCCGGAATATCCCTAAATTTAAGGACAGGGCCAACTGGTCACGCGCCACTTTTTTAACCAATGAGATGGCGCGCTTGTGTTTATCAACAAACAAATCAAAACATCGCCCCAGTGATCAAAAAGTTTCAAAACAACGGACGGAGTCGGACAGAATTAAAGATGAGCTTACAGTACTCGTCTAGGTTTCACATTTAATATTTCAAAGAAAACATGTCATGTGTGATGTATGTTAATGCCATGCCTGTACTAGGCATGACGGGTAACTAATTAAATCAGTTGTTACACTCAACATGGTGTGGTTTGGTCGTACATTACATGGTACCAGGAGTAAATCGAGTTGAATGACCCGTTAGAGTAGCCATCCATCGTGAAAAAGAGTTCCGTATCACGTTTAAGAAGAAATGGAGGAAATGTCGTCGGCAAATACACCAAAAATGGACTGGAACAGCAAGGATTTACCGACTGCGTGGAAGTCGTTTCGACGCCATCTTGAATTTATGTTTGGCGGACCGTTAAAGTCGAAATCGGAGGAACAGAAATGCAATTATCTCATGATTTGGGTAGGAGAAAAGGGAAGAGACATATATCAGACCTGGACGTTTGGAGATGGAGAGGAGAAAAAGCTTAACAGCTACTACGAGAGGTTCGAAGCCCATG